ACTCAGGACCTTTCGGCAGAACAGACAGTGCTCTTAACCTCTGAGCCGTCTCTCCAGCCCACCATCTTATCTTTTGGAGATAAAGTCTCCTTATATAACTCAGGCTAGCTAAGAATTTACAATCCTTCCTCTGCCTCCAGAGTGCTGGAATTATAGGAACACACTACCATGTAATGATAATCATAATGAGATTCATAATCATAATTTCAAATGAGAGAGAGTCCACACATGGACAGAAACATTCTCCTCCTTGAAGGTCCCGCTCATGGAGGACCTGCTGGCTGGCGGAATCTAAGGGAGCACCTTCCTCCTGCCTCCATGCCCTCTGCACACACACTCACTAGCTCTGCCTCACTAAATGCTTCTTGTGAGGACACAAACAGGGCAACCCTCCCAAGCAGGCCTTCCATCTCTTCCACTGCCTTCCAAGCCTCCCACCAGATTGCAATTTAACTAATTTCCTATTCTCTTGTTATTCTGTCTTTTATTTATTTATTTGTTTGTTTGTTTGTTTATTTATTTCCTGAGGACTGAACCCAGGGTCTTGGGCTTGCTAAGCAAGTGCTCTACCACTGAGCTAAATCCCCAACCCCTAATTTCTTACTCTTATTGGAACCTTGCTATGGAAGATGAGAAGAATTTAAGTAGAAATTATCAAAGGGGGAAGGAAAAATGCAAAAATGCAAAAAAAAAAAAAAAAAAGACTTCTGATTCATTAAAAAAAAAAAAAAGTAGCGTTCAGACAGCCACTATTATCTGTATTGGAGCTACTTCCTATTAGCCTATCAGCTCTACAAGATGTGCCAGTTTCCCCCTCTCTGACAGGCTATAAAAAGCTCCCAGCTTACTTTCAGTTTGCCCTCACCTCTACAGGAAACACAGCAAAGGCTTCAGTAAGAAACGTTTTTGTTTTAAATTAAAAAAAAAAACTAAAAATAAAAAAATTGGGGCCAGATCTTTAATCCCAGCACTCAGGGAGGCACAGGCAGGCGGATCTCTGTAAGTTCAAGGCCAGCCTGGTCTACAAAGAGAGTTCAGGACAGCCAAGGCTAGATAGAGGAACCCTGTCTCAAAAAACAAAAAAACAAACAAACAAACAAAAAACTCGGGGGGGGGGTGCTGGAGATGAAGAAGTAGCTCTGTGGTTAAGAGTACTGGCTGCTCTTGCAGGACCTGGGTTCAGTTCCCAGCATCTAGTTGGCAGCTCACAACTGTCTGTAACTCCTGTTCCAGGGAATCCAACAGGAGATCCATCACCCTCTTCTAGCCTTCCTGGGCACCTGGTGCATAGACACATGTACAGGCAAAATCCCCTTGTACATACAATAAAATAATAATAAAAAATTAAAGGACAGTGTTTCTGATCTTCAATTTGTCTAGAAACTTAATTCTGACTTTAAAACTGAAAGACTTACTAGTTCACTCTGACGGACCTTGCGCAAAATGCAGGCATATTTGGCAAGGCCTTGATGTAAGGACCACGTAAGGCAGAAACCGTCACTTAGAGTTAGTTCACCTTATCACAATCTCTCCTCGTGGCCAAAGTGATGGTTGTTACTGGGCAGCGATTGTGAAATCACCTTACCAACAGCTATGCCCATTCAGGGAACCTGGTATCTTTCCTGTGAGTGTGGGGGTCTAGCCTCAGCCCCTTGACCGCACCTGCTCAAGCATTTTCCATTTTGTCTCTTTGTGAGTATTTGTTTTCCTTGGGACAGGCTTTCATTCAGCCAGAGCTTAAGCAGCTGGGGATGACCTTGAATGCTGGTTCTCTTGCCTCCACCTCCTAATTGTTACATGGGCATTAAGAAATATAAACGAATAAAAAGGTAGCACGATGCAGGAATCCCGGGCCTCATCAACAATTCCCTGGAACCTATACTAAACAAATTAGCCATCATTCCTATCACCCACACCCATCGCCAAGTTTCCCTGTGCTTAGCACACCATTTTACATCATGATTTTAGTTGGGTTTGTAGAAATAAGTATGTTGTAGGAATGCTTTACATATAAGCGAGATTTGCTTTATGTGAACTCCTAACCTACAAGCACCTCCAATATGACATATGGTCCCTGATGACGAAGTTAAAATAGGACCATTAGGGTGGCCCTTGTCCAAAGACAAGGATAACAGGGTGTGTGGAAGGGGCTGGGTGAAGACACAGGCACCAATATAAGAGAAAGGTGTCAGAATGAACCCAACATTGCCAACACTGGGATCTTGGATTTTACTCTGATACTGTGAGGAAAATAAATGTGTTACTTTTTCCTATTTGGCTTTTGGAAACATCTTCTTTGTGTAGCTCTGGCTGTCCTGGAACTAGCTCTGTAGCCCAGGCTGGCCTTGAACTCAGTGATTCCCCTGCCTCTGCCTCCCGAGTGCTGGGATTAAAGCTATGTGTGCCATCACCACCCAGCTAAATTTCTGTCGTTTAAGCTACCTGCTCTATGGTGTTTTGTTATGGAAATCAAAGAAAACTGATAAATGAACTTAAGATCAACGAGCTAAAAGCCTGGTACATCTGATCATTCAAACCGGAAAGCTACAGACATACTGATCCTTAAACCTTTTTTTTTTTTTTTTTAAGATAAGGAGAGGTCTGGGGATGTGGTTGAGTTGGTAGGATGCTGGTGTAGCATACACAAAGGTCTGGATTTGGTTCCCAGAACTCTGTAAACTAGGCACGGTAGCAGAGGTACAGAATTCTAGCATTTGGGAAGCAGAATTAGAGGCTCAAGGCCATCTTTTGCTAATAATGAGTTCAAGGCCAGCCTGGGCTAAAGTGATTTGAAGCCCTGTGTTGAAAGAAAGAAAGAGAGAAAGAAAGCAAGAAAGATAAAGAAAAAAGAAAAAGAAGGAAGGAAGAAAGGAAAGAGAGAGAAAGAAAGAAAGAAAGAAAGAAGGAAAGAAGGAAAGAAAGGAAGAAAGAAAGAGAGAGAGAGAAAAAGAAAGAAAGAAAAAAAGAAGGAAAGAAAGGAAGGAGACAGGAAGGGGTGCCATTGATTCATACCTGTAACCACACAGAGGTATGGCAAGCAGTGTCGCTGCTGCTGAGTAGCCGCTGTACCAATAATTCACAGCCACGCACCCATTTCCCTTTACGTTCAAATATGAGCATCAGGTTTTGAGCCAAGAGCCCCTTGGAAACACCCTAGATTTTTGGTTCATTCATTGTCTCCTTTCTTCAATTCCCTTTCCAACTGAGAGCTAAAGCGACAAGCAGGAATCATAACACTTGCACCCTCCCCATGCTTTTTTTTTTTTTTTTTTTTTTTTTCTTTTTTGAGGTATGTAGCTCTGGCTGTCCTGGAACTATGCAGACCAGGCTGACCTTAAACTCATGGAGTTTCCCCTGCCTCTGCCTCTTAGTGCTGTGTAAGCCACCCAACTTGGTTCCTTCTTCCTTCTTGATAAAGATGAAATGTGCACGGTTTTGTTTCCAGTCTAGCTTTACCATCTAGTTACAATCAGTGTGACGTTTCTGGGAGCTTTTGCAACTGAAAGGTTTACATACAGGTCTCCGGTAGAGATGAGCCCAGAGCCAGCCGGGGTCGTCCGTGTGCCACACATGGGGAATTCACAGTCCCTGTCAGAGCACTTGGGGACTCGTTACAGCAAGCCAAAGGTTTCCCCCTAAAGGATCTGAAAACTTTCACTCTGTGTCAAAGAGAGAGCTGCGGCTCAGGCTCGGTGGTGGAGAACTGGACATGCAGGTGGGAGGCCCCCGGACATGCAGGTAGGAGGCCCCCGGACATGCAGGTAGGAGGCCCCTGGACATGCAAGAGGCCCTGGGTGTAGGCTCCAGCATCACAGAGCTGCTGTAAATAGAAACAAGGCTTGGCAAGATCGCTTCCTGTTTTCCTCCAGCGTTAGCGTAACCAGATAAAAATGAGTTTATAAACTTCCAGTCTATACGGGATTTCTGAGATTACCTGTGAGATTTCATTTCAACCGGAAGTAAGAACACCATAGCTAGGAGTCACTGCGAAGAAGCGGCCCCAGGAGTATGTCACGGTGACTCAACGTTTCCTTTACCATTTGAGGGAACTTTGTGTTTCTCAGCCGTGAACCCTGTTGCCTATTTATCAGGCCATGACCTTCCGCCTCGTTTAGACGTAATTCCTTATATATCAAAGAAGGAGACATGGTACCTTTTTTTTCTCTTTAAACAAACTTTTCATTTTCATGTTCTTCTTAGGAAAAGTTTTGGGTTGATTCTGTGTGACTAAACAGCCCTAATGACAGTCAGACCTAAGGAGAGGTTTTCAGATGGGCTCGTCTCTAAACAAGAGCCACAAACGCTAACATTCTTTGGGCTGTCTTTAAAATAGTTCTTTGGGTTAGTGTCAGCTATGCCTAGCCAAAATTGAATGTTTGGTAAGACCCGAGCTTAAGAAGAATAAGGGTGGGGATAAGGGTGGGGAAAAAAACTAACTTCACTTTCCAATTTTTTTTTTTTTTAAAGCCTCTCCCACCATTAAGATAACAGTGCACTCTGAACGCATTCTAAGTTGGAGCCAGCGTGGCAAGATCCACCTGCTATCCCCGTATTTGGGAGGTAGAGGCAAAAGGACCAGAAAGGCCAGGCCATCCGCCCATACAGTAAGTTGAAGACCAGCTTACACTACATGAGACCCTACCTTACCATGAAACAAAGATGGAATTCATGCAGACAGCGCCAAGATAGGATGCTATTCTAGAACATTCCCAAGTGCTATCATCTCCATCCATCAGTCACTTGGGTAATTTTCTGCTTACTTCTTGAACTCTTAATGAATAAACCACGCATCTTCATCAAAAAATAAGAGCACTTTTTAGTCATTTCGATCGTTTTTAAGGCTCCCACTTGCTTTACAGTTTAATTTTTTTTAAGACCAGACTCAAATCCTCCTTTCCCACAATAAAACTTCCTGCACTTTCAAACGAAGACAGTCCCTTTGCTCGGGATGCTAGTGCCTTCACAGCAGAGAACAGAGGAGTGAAATTCCCGAGTCTTACCTTGAACTGAAGATCCCCAAACCAGGATGAAGGCGAGAGCCAGGACAAGCCTGCTGCCCACGAGGACCTGCCGCATCCTGACCAGCTCAGCCCAGCACGCCAGCCTCTCGATTAGCAAATGCAGCAGGGTGCTCTCTCTGTCCCTTTTAGAAAAAGGTTCCAAAACCTCAGACCCTGCCCAAGAACACACGTCACAGTTTCCTGAACAAATAGAAAGAGATCCACATCAACACCCAGAAAGAAGAAGAAAGAAAGCTGCAAAAAACAGCCATTCCTACCCATGATGAAACTCCTCCGGACTCTCCCCACGCTTTTGCTGTTGTAGGCTTTTTGGTTTGGTTTTGTTTTGAATTGGGTTTTCTTGTTTCGTATTTGTTTTTTTCCAAAAAGAGTTTTGCCGTTTGTCATTTCATTTTCATGTTTAAAATGTTTTTTTTTTTTTAAATAAGTTTTTCCCGTCACAAAAGCCAAATCAGCATTCAGAAGAACACCTCTTTCTTTTTTCTTTCTTTCTTTTTTTTCCCCCCTTCCTTCTTCAGGTAACAATCTAAAAAATGAGAACTCAGCTGTTTGAAGCTGATGCAATAAGCGTTCGGGTACCACTAGCACATTGCACATCAAAGAGAAGCCTGGCTCAATGAATCAGGCTCAAGCAGGCAATCTTCCAGGTTGGTTTCTCAGCTACTAGGATGAGTGGTCTCCGGTAACATTCCGTTTCATCTTGGACTCAGTATTTTCTTTTTCTTTTTTCTTTTTCCAGACAGAGTTTCTCTGTGTAGCCTTGGCCACCCCGGATTTCACTTTGTAGGCGAGGCTGGCCTCGAACTCACAGAGATCCACCTGCTTCTGCCTCGCTGTAGGCACGCACACCACACTCAGCAAGAACTCAGTATTTTCACTGGATCCCTGGCTTTCCTCTACCTCACAAATAGGTGAGGACTTTGGGTTGAAAAATAAAAGATTAAAAAACGGTGATAAGTAAATAATATTTAGCATTCTCTACCCCTTTACCGCAGCTGCTTCCCAGAGGTTGATTCCATGCTTGTTTTCATCCTTTCTCCTGTTTTGTTTGTTTACTTTGGCAATTGTGTTGTTTGTCTGTCTGTCTGTCTGTCTGTTTGGATCTTTCTGGCCCTGAGTAAGGCAGAAATCAGGAACAAGGGCAGGTTCCCCTCTCAGAGGGCCATGGGGCATGAAAACACAGGACACGCACACACACTCCTGTGCATAAAGGAGTTGCTTTTCCCTGGTCCTGGGGAGAGGGCAGAGCTTTGGAGCATGGCCACTCTGTACCGATCCCACAGCAAGGTGGTTTCTACCCTGCCTTTACCCAGGCAGCTTTCCCCTTCTTTGCTTTGAAGACACAACCACTCTCCATTTCAGGGTGCCTGTTCCTGGCTGCTCAGACTCTTGCCCACTTTCCATTTCATGCTCCCACCCCTTGGCTATCCCTTTGATGGGAGGGAGGAGTTTCCCTTCCCTTGTTTTGGGCTTCCTGCTGATTCCTTACAGTTTCCTGCTGAGGACAGGCCTCAGAATCCAATAGCCCAGGAGCCCTGATAGAGATAATAGCACACAGCGTCCTCTCCTCAGAAACCCCTCAGAGCCAGGGACTCCTCAGCCGGAGTAACCGAACTGCACACAGACCCAGCACGTGGCCTGTGTGGAATATTAGCATAGCATTGGTTAGAATTCCAGTTATCTGTCACTGTCCCTTTCTTCCCTGAGTTGCTTTGTTTATTACAGCAACAGAAAGAAAACCCGAAGAAACAGAAATTGTACCTGAAAATGATCTTTGGGGGATTTTTCTCACTTGAAGACTTTTTTCTGTTTCTCTGAGCTATGGAAACATTATTTATTTACTTACATACATATTTATTGAGACAGGGTCTCATGTATCCACAGCTGGCCTTGAACTCGTCCTGTAGTGAAGGATGCCTTGAGCTCTTGAGCCCCTGGCCACTACCTGCCAGGATCTGAAAGGCTCTAGTCCTTCAATCTGGTGTGAGTGGCCGGACCTGTTCCAGGACACAAGTGACCTAAACCATACTCCGTGGATGGATGAGCGATGAAGGGGAAATAAGAATGGTGTGTCAAAGGGACTGCTTACTTTCTGCTTATTATTGCTATCTGCTCCACATTTCCATTCATGCTAACAAAGACAGAGTGGCTCTAAATAATCCAGGCCTGGGGCAGGCGCTGGCTTGCTCATTGCCAAAGCCGACTTGCTGGTAAACCAAAATTCACTGTACTGTTCTCCCTGATGGCAGCCAGCGCACTGGCTCCCTCTTCATCACTTTTTATTGCTTCTCTTTATACCCGGCGGTACTGGGTAGCCCCACTGATATCCTGTTGATCGCAGCCAGTCTTGTAGCTCATTCAGATGGACTACCCACAGACCCCAAGCTTCCTTTAGGATAGGCATGCTTTCCAAGCTCAAGTTCCCAACTCAGTGATTGGCCTGGAACCCACTACATAGACCAGGCTGACCAGACTCGGAGAGATCCTCCTACGTCTGCCTCCTCAGCACAGGGACTAAAGGCATGGGCCACCACACCCGTGCTTTTTATCTTCTATGAGGCAGGGTCTCTGGTAGCTCAGGCTGGCCTTGAACTCTGAGGATGGCCCTGAACAGCATGCTGGTCCTCCTGCCTTAACTTCTGCAGTGCTATGATTACCGGTATGTGCCAACCACGCCAAGCTTCATCCATAGCCCAGCACTGTCTAGACTTCACAATCCGACCTCCTGCTTCCTTCTCTGCCCAAAAGAACCTGACATTCTGTTAGAGTTACCAGCCACAGAGGAAGAAGGAAGTTCTCTCTCCTTAATGTGTAACCACAGAACATTAAGCAGCTCTTTAACGGCCTTTTCATTTCCATCTCCAGGCGCTGACCACATTGACCAATTAAATTTCTACACTTGGGTTGGTTCTTATTTTATGCTTTTTTTTCCCTCCCTTTGTCTTCATTGCAAACATAAAAAAAAAAAAAAGTGAAATGCTACTTAGAAATTTAATGGCTGCTTGGGCTACAAGACGCGGCCCTGATCATGGCAGAATGTCTGCCTAGCACACAAGGGGCTCCTGGGTTCAATCCTCAGCAACTCACACACCAAAGATGTAAGAGATAGTCTCCCTGTCTCTTAGATGGCAGCCAGGGACTTGAACTTGCTATACGGCAGGCCAGCCTGGCCTCTCTGTTCCATGCTCGGCTCCTGGTACATCACAGCTTAACGCCCATTAAAGGATAAAGGAATGTGAAAACAGCTACTTCTCTTCTGAAAGCTTGCAGATGCCCTCAGCGTACCTATGTCCACCCCCCACCCCCCGACACTGGATAAATTCTGGCTGACTGATTGTGGTCTCACATGTTCTAGTCTTGACCCCACAACAGTTATTATTCCTGCTGTTTTGAGACAGGATTTCACGTAGCTCATATTGATCTTACACTTGCTATGTAGCCAAGGCTGGCCTCGAACTTCCGGAGTACTGGAATTGCATGTGCATACATCACTGCTCTCGGCTTCATCAATTCTATTTCGATGGTATGGTTTTGACTGTTGCAGAATATCATGGGCTCCTCTAGCTATTGATTTTTAAAAGTAAACAATTTTCTAGACAGGAGGGTGTCAATGTTTCCTATGTACACTATTCAAATGTTCTGCCTCCTACCCCCATCCCAGTACTATGAATGGCTTTTGAACTCACACCTGCCAGGCAAGCACTGTACCCCTGAGCTGTGTTCCCAGCCCTAAACTGAAAAATTTTATGGGACAAACTTATCAATCACATCTATCATATTAGTCAGCTGACAAAACACTCAAAACACTTAGGAAAATTCTTCTTCCTCTCATATGGATGTGTGTGGACATAAGCGTGTTCAGGTGTTCGTGTACATGTGTGCAAGAGTGAGGAGGCACAAGGTTGACCTTGGGAGTCTTCCTTGACTGCTCTTTAGCCTATCCACTGAGGCAAGATCTCTTTTCGGGGGTGGGGAGAGGATTTGAGCATTTGAGACGGGCTTCTCTGTGTAGCCCTGGCTGCCTTGGGCAGTCGCTCTGTAAACCAGGCTGGCCGTGAAGTCACAGAAATCTGCCTGCCTCTGCCTCCCAGATGCTGGGATTAAAGGTGTGCACAAAACCTCTGGTCCTCACCCTTGCAGGGCAAAGGCTCTAACCACTGAGCCATCTCCTTAGACCCTAGAGAAGTGTTTTGTTTTGTTTTTTTCTTTTAAAGACTTTTTTTTTTATGTGTATGAGCACGCATGTGCGTATGTATGTACCATGTGTGCCTGGTGCCCAGGGAGACCAGAATCCCAAGGGGCAGATCCCTTGGACCTATAGTTACAGAGAGTTGTGAGCCAACATGTAAGTGGGGGAAACTGGCCTCCCCTCCCCCGAAATCATCTTGATAGTGTACAAAAAATTTAACTTAAAAATTATTTTAGGGGCTAGAGAGATGGCTCAGCAGTTACGAGCACTGGCTACTATGCCGGAGGGCCTGGATTTGACTCCCAGCACCCACACAGTGGCTCACAACTATCTGTAACTCCAGTTCCAAGGGATCTGAAGCCCACCTCTGGCTTCTTCAGGCTCCGAGCACACATGTGCTGCACCCACCTCCATGTGGGCCAAACACTCATACACAGGAAATTAATTAATTAACTAAAAATATTTTAATAAGCTGGGCATGGCGGCACATCCCTTTAATTCCAGCACTCAAGGCAGAGGTAGGTGGATCCCTGAGTTCAAGGCCACCCTGGTCTACAGAGTAGAGCAGGCTAGCCAGGAGAGCCAAGGCTACGTAGAGAAATCGTGTTATTGTGGTGTATAAGTAGAATGATAATCATAGGGTTAATAATAAACACTATAAAGCCCTTTCTATATTTACCACAACACCCTGTCTTGAAAAACAAAAAAAAATAAAATAAAAAATGTAATGGCGAGCAAGCCTTGGATAACCTCCCTGGTTGCCCAATGAGACTAAAGAAGTCAGGCCAGAGACCAGGTCTTAAAAACACCTGCGAAAGAAATGTGGTTAAGGCTGTGAACACCACTCCGTGGGAGAGCGTGTGTTTAGCCAACCTGAGGCTGGGATTGATCCTCAGCAGAGCAATGATAGTAGCTAGTATTGTTATTGTTTACCTCAAGGCAGTGGAGCTGAAAGTCACTGTAGCCAGGGAAAGAAAGAACACTTGGGGGA